ATGGGTGGCAGGATAAACGGCATAGAACTCTAGTGAACTTTTGCGTGAATTCTAGCAAAGGGACAGTGTTTATGAAAGCCGTAGATGCTTCATCTTACAAGAAGACCGGGGAAGCACTTTTCAAGCTTTTCGATGAGTGGATAAAAGAAATAGGTCCTCAAAGTGTCATACAAGTTGTGACCGACAATGCTAAAAATTATGGATTAGCGAAGAGGAAAATAGAACAAAGATATCCACATATCTTCACGACGGGGTGTGCAACTCACTGTCTTGACCTTGTTCTAGAAGACTTTTCAAAGAAGATGCCGATAGTTAGAAGAACTGTGAAGACGGCACAAGGGATTACTACCTACATCTACAGTCATACCCTTGTTCATGACTTAATGAAAGAATTTACCAAGGGTAGAGAGTTAGTTAGACCAGCTGCCACACGGTTTGCCAATAACTTTCTGACTCTTCAAAGTCTTCTCACGCAGAAACAGGCATTGAGGCAGATGTTTGCTTCACCGAAATGGTTTGAAAGTGAGTGGGAAAACTGTCAAATAGGTCCTTGTACTTTTACGAAAAAGTCAATTGAGTCCCCGTACTTTAAATTGAATCAATTAAGTCCCTTAAGTGTTAAAAATTGATCAAATAAGCTATTTTGTAGGTGACTAGGCGGTGATCCGGTTACCCACCTACGTGGCTGATCAATTGTACTGTTTTTATATTTTCCATAACTTTTATTTTCGTTTTTTTTTTCTCTTTCTTGCTTTTTTTTTTGTTTCTTCTTCCCCCATGGAGTCGGACTCCTCTCCCTGCAAGTCCGCCGCTCCACACCCATTTATTTTGACTTTCCACTTTCCATGAAGAGCATTGGCAGTTTCCTGGACCCTAACAAACACATCCCTCCAAAGATTTCGATCTCCACCATTCCAATAGATATCTGCGAAGTTAAATTGTCACAAAATGGACTAAATTGCTCCATTTTGGAATCATCAAGAACTTTAGCTAGTAAGTTTCTTCTCTTTAACCTTCTCTTGCCGGTGCAGTCGTTGATTCCCCTCGTCGGCCGTTCAGCTTGTCGGAGGAGCGCCTTAGGTTTTTTTGTCTCAGATTTTAATACTGGGTACTCGACAACAAGAGATTTGCTAACCTTGTTTGCCAAGTCGCGGACCGGATAGGATTTACGAGAATCTGTTGCACTGTGTTGGCCGCCATACGAGGCCTCATGAAAAGAGTCGAGCAGTTTAGGGAGAAAGAAAAGAAGAAAGAGAGAAGGAAAGAGGAGAAGAAAATTTAAAATAGTAGCAAACAGTAAAAAAAGGACCAGTGGACATCCACATAAGCATCAATAACCGGGTTACCGGCTGGTGACTTAGGAAATAGCTTAATTGGTTATATTTTAATACTTCGGGGACTTAATTGATTCAATTTGAAGTACGAGGACCTAATTGACTTTTTCATAAAAGTACAGGGACCTATTTGACAGTTTTCCCAAAGTGAGTTTGCAAAAACTACGGAAGGTCAATCTTGTTTTGAGTCGATTTATCGTCAAAGCTTTTGGAGGAGTGTTGCCTATGTTATGAAGATTTCTTTGCCCGTAGTGAAGGTATTGAAAATTACGGATGGAGAGTTGCCTTCAATGGGCTTTATTTATGAGGCTATGGAGAGAGCGAAGTTGGGAATAAAAAATACATTGGGAGGTAAAGAAGAGAAATACATGCCTCTTTGGAAGATAATAGATAAGCGTTGGAATGAGAACCTGCATTCTCCATTACATGCAGCTGGGTATTATCTCAATCCTCAATTCTTCTACCCTAATTCACGGTGAATCCTCGGAGTTGAAGAAGTATGCGATGGCTTTATAAAGTGTGTGGAGAAGATGTTGCCCACTAGCATTGGAGAGAGTGTAGAGTTCTCAACTGAGATATCAAACTATACAAATGGTAGAGGAAGTTTCGGAACTAAAATGGCAATGAACAATAGGGACAAACAACCACCGGGTATGCAAACTGTAATATGTCTTCTCTTTCTTATTTAAGTATTTTATTTACTTAAATTTGGTAATGAGGTAACCTACTGCCTACAAACTTATTTTAATTAACTTTCTGCTAGAACTAATTTTGTAGGTTTATAGACACTGGATAACTGGATTTAAACTTTCTGGAAACTGGAAAGTCCTAAACTGCAACCTACTATCCTACAACCTACTGTCTGGATAATGGAATCTGAAAACCTTAAATCTAAATATTTTAAGCATGAATGTATGATTAGTAAATTATTTTAAGTACCAAATGTGAGTGACTAAGTGTTAAATGATGGCTAGCACTTGCTGTAGCCTGTAATTGACTGCAAAATTGGAATGGAAAGCTAAAATTTTAAATCCTGAGTATTGTTTTCTAGATTATTAATTAGCATTTGGTTGGAATTTTTAAATATAGTTGACTAGTGGCTTGCAAACGGCTCCTCGTCTCCTACATTGCAACATCTTGCTGTTCGGATCCTTAGTTTAACTTGCAATGCTTCTGGATATGAACGAAACTGGAGTGCTTTTGAAAATGTAAGTTCATAAATGTGCCTTTCATATTTAATTCAACTATTTAATTTATCCGTAGTTGATTTGTTATCTACTTGTTTTAGGTTCAAAGCAAGAAAAGGACAAGGTTGCTGCCAAAAAAAATGGATGATTTGGTATACATTCGGCAGAATCAACGTCTTCAAGATCCAGCTTTCAAAAAAATGAAAGTATGTTTGGATGACATTGACGATTGCAATGAATGGATTGATGAAGCTGCTGAGCAAAATGAAATGGAAAACTGGGATGTAGTGGAAGAAGTTGGTGTTAATGAAGCAAATCACAACACAAGAGCAACAACATCAAGGGCATCAACACTTCAGTTGCATGACGAAGAGGAGACAGAGGGGGCGGAGGAAATGGAGGAAACGGACGAGGTTGCAGATCCCTCCGAGGATGAAATGAATGAGGATGGTGTGCCATTGCTATCAGATTCAGACCAAGATGATGAGGAGTCTAATGATTGATGATGATTATGCCATAATCATCAAACAAAAACAAGCTAACAAGCCTAAATCCTAACATATTTTGCAAGACAGAAACTTTTTTTTTTGAATATTATGTTTTTTGGAAGCACTTTGAACTATTTTATCATGTTTTGGTGGTTGGGTAAACTTGGGTTGATGAATTGCAGTATCTATTATTCGTTTTGAAGGTTTTTTGTCACGTGGCGACGCCATATTTGCGCCATCACCATGGGCTGTGCGCCATGGGCCATGGCAACTATGCCCTGATCTTTTCACTTCTGTGTAAACAACATAGTGGGATTTTTCATTTTTGTTATATTATCAACATGGTTCTCAACAATAAATTATCCTGCCATCAGTAGATCTATATAAAAGAGAACCAGATATGGTTCAAAGACATCGTGTCAGATGTAGAGTTATTCATAGAGCTACCTGGGGAATTCATTTTCTAAGGAGTAAGATGTTTTGAAAAATATAGTTAACTGCAGTAAAAAATGCATAGCTAAATAGTGTAGGGACACAGTTTTTAAAGCACCACCAAGACCTGAGCAATAACTATTTTCCTAATGAACATATTGTTGTTATTGGGGACCTTATTTCCGAGTTTGTAGATGTCACCCTTCAATTGTCCAAATTGGTGTAAATGTGGTCCTTCGAGCAATGAAATGTACAAAGTGGACATTTCACCCCTCAAAGGACACACATACAACAATTTGGACTATTCAGGGATGACATTTACAAACTTGGAAATACGGGACTAACATTTCAATATGGTGACTATTTCAGGGACTAAAAGTGTGAAATAATTATATTATCATTAAAATATGTTAATAGTGACATTTACAATATTGGAAATATGAGATTGACATTTCAATATGGTGTCTATATCAGGGACTAAAAGTGCGAAATAGTTATATCATCATTAAAATATGACAATACGACATTTCAATATGATGACTATTTGGAGCAATGACTATACCCGGCACCGGTCATGCGGATTTTTCGCCGGTTGCTTCGTTTGACCGGGCCCGATTGATTACAGGCCCATTTTTCTCAAAATATACATCCGACCGGCGCCAGTTGCAGCGATTGACAATGTACATTTTTTTGTTCCTTTTTACCCCTTTTCGACCACGATTGATTGCCAGTTTCGACCCCTTTTGACCCATATTTGTTGCTCCTAGCTGTCTTTCACATTTTTGCTCACCTTTGAATATTTATCTGTTTTCGCTTCATATTTTTGTACAAATAAATATAATTAAATTACCTATGTAAAACATAAGTAATTATTGTGCTTATCTGATTTCCCCACACTTGCTAAGTCTCGAGCTAGTCCATCACCTTGAGTGCCTTGGTTAGTTCAACAAAGATATATGCACAAAAATGATTTTAAGAGAGTAAAAACATATACTCTTTTATCATTCTCGGTCCAAAATCATTTTTCTATTAGACACAAAAATATCATTACATTTAGAAAAATTACTTATACTCTTGAGAATTAATGAGTGGATTGTGACTAAAGCTTTTTGGATGTGTGGGATGACTTTTTGGTGTTTTTGACTTTGCTTGGAAGAGACTATGAGTTAATTCCTTTTTTAACTCATTTGAAATGGTTCTTAACAAGTATCTGCTGAAAGTCATTTTTCTGATTCCAATTTATTTGATGAGATATGGGGGTGACTTGATTCCAAAATGGGACCTGAGTATTTGAGATGATTTTTTACCACCTTTTGAAATAAAGGAAGACGTTTCCGAATCACAAGGTTTCTCTTGAGAATGCCTCTCAAGAGTAAAATGTAGTAATAAATCTTAAAAAATGATAATTTTTGTGAATAATAAAAAAAACTTTCTCAACCGAATACCCATTAAAAAGAGAAATATCACAAATTTTGACCTTCCTAAAGAAATTTATGGCACACAAAATTTGTTTAACTACCCATGAGATGCACCACCACATTTGAATTGAAATACATTGTCCCAATGTATGATACATACAAAACAAATACTTTAATCAACATCTACAATTAAGTGTGTTTAGGGAAGATAATGTCATAATAGCAATAACAAAATGGGGTACTCAATGTTATGGGTCGGGAGGGATACCCAAATTGCTCGTAATAGTTGGGTGAATTTCTCAAACCTTGTAATTGCTACCCTATCCTCATTTGGCAGGTCTCAAATGCATCGTATCAAGCTCCTCTTGATGAAGTAGTCTACACTTTGTGCCATAGTCTCGTGGTCGGGTCGCGAGTGCCGGTTAAACTTCACCCATATCTTCGTTTCCACCCTCATGCTCTCCATTATCCTCTTCCGAGTCTCATACACGTTCATCCGTGTAAGCATTTAGTCCATAGAGTCGATGAAGTAGTCTAAACTTTGTGCCATATTCCGTCGTGGTCGGATCGCAAGTGCCGGTTAAGCTTCACTCATTTCTTCATTTCCACCCCCATGCTCCCCCTCATCCTTGCAGACCCATGTGTTATCCACTAATTTAAATTGGATGGACACCATAGTACCCGCATTCAGAACATGTGACCCAAACGTGTATTCAACTTCTTCATTGGTAAGGTCAACGCCAAAATTCCTGAATATCATAGTAGGTAAAAGAGGGTAAAGGAAGTTTGTATCACCTCTTTTCGTTTTGACGACGCTCCTCATGTTTATCACGATGAGAGAGACCAAAGGAACGCCCTGAATTTGTTTGAGCCCGTTGACCATCTTGTAAAGGTAGAGGTCCACCTGACAAAGTATATGTGTGTCACTAACCCGTGGTAAGATGTTGAAACCGAGAAGGTACACGATAAGTCTCTTTAAAACATTGAGAACACGGGCTTTAAGCTCCCCTACGAGGTTAAAGGATTGCATTGCTCCTATCTCATCATAAGTGGGGTCGTTTGTCACCGTTTTGGAATTCATGGTGAAGCGGGTACCCACGTCAACGACTTGAAGTAGGTTGCAAAGTTGGCCTTTACTCACCGTGATTGTCGTGCCTTTTGCTATGCTCACGATGTCCCCAAAAGAGTCCGTCTTCTTTTCAATATTCGCATAATTCTCCCGCACTAGCCGCGAGTAATACGCTCTAGTCAAAGTGAGTATGATGGTCCACCCTAGTTTGTCATATGCCTCCGAGATTCTGCACAGAGTGTTGATTTTGGGATCAACGGTCTTCCCAATGACAATGTTCCGCATCTTTTTTTCATATCACGCCCCGTTTTCCAGAGAGGTGAAACAGAGAGTGGAAGAAGAATAAGTAGCATCATTCCTTTGTTTAGGAGCCATGGACCTGCATTACTAGTCAAATACATATGCACCACACAATATATTTCATCAAGTCTAGGTAATTTAGACTTCAAATCTAAAAATTTCCCCAAATTTCAAGTCCATTTACAAATTCTTACAACAATTATGTTTAAAAGACTATATATCAACAGTAAATCATATCAATATCCTTCTAAACATTAATTGTATAAAAGGATTCAATAATGAACAAGAAAATTCGAAATTAGGGTTTATGAAAAAAAAATTCTAGAACTTCCCCTAATTTTGAACTTTAATCTCAAAATCTTCAAAACAAATGTGTTTATAGGCATCAATTAAGCACGAGTGACTAACAATTAGCACATAGAAACATCAATTTTGCCATGTTTTGAAAAAAAGAAAAGAAATTGAAGATTCAAGAAGTATTTGATTTTGAAGCAAAATTACATTGATTGATAAAAGATTGTATGTTTAGAGTTTGGAGGAGGATCGTATGATGTAGTAAGAGCTTTGGCGGCGTGAATTTCGGATGAAAGGGGCGGTTTTGGGGTGTTAGCCATTTCAGATAACATCTTTTCATTTAGGATACATTGTCGTATAAATCCATTGTATAAATCTCAAAATCTTGAAAACAAATGTGTTTAAAGGCATCAATTAAGCACGAGTGACTAACAATTAGCATATAAAAACATCAATTTTGCTAAGTTTTGAAAAAAAATTGAAAATTCAAGAAGTATTTGATTTTGAAGCAAAATTACATTGATTGATAAAAGATTGTATGTTTAGAGCTTGGAGGAGGATCGTATGATGTAGTAAGAGCTTTGGCAGCGTGAATTTCAGATGAAAGGGGCAGTTTTGGGGTGTTAACCATTCCACATAACATCTTTTCATTTAGGATACATTGTCGTATAAATCCATCGGCACACTGTTTGAAAAGATATGGATCATCCCAATAGTAACGTTTGACATCATTTAAAAATTTCTTCCTTTGATGGAAAGTTAGCTCTTGGGAAAGAATTTCTTTGACAAGATAATTCACAAAATCTGTGAACCAAGGTCAGAAAACTCCATTCACCTCCATCATGGTTGTCACGGCGTCAACTAGGCGTCGCCTAGGCGCCGACTAGGCGTCCTGGCGATGAAGAAGGGTCGACATGGGAGATCGACTCGCTAGAAGAAGATAAGTCGCTCCTGGCATCGTCCAGGCGTGGACATGTCGTCCAGGCGCAGTCTAGGCACACGCCAGGGGAAATTAAAATCTCAAATTCTCAATAAATTCGAGTTTAGAAGCCCAACCCAAAATATGATTTAGAAAGTAGAAACTTAGGAACTGAAGCCTTCTGAGAGTCTGAAACTCGAAGTGCAATCATGACTCTCAAAACTTGAAGGCCAATCAACGACTCCCAAACACAGAGCATCGCTAGTCGCTACTTCTCTTATGTGTGCCTCTGTCGCAAGGTTGAAGACGACCTGCAGTTGCTGCTTTATCCTGCGTCACAAGGTTGAAGACAACCTGCGATCCTAAGTTGCAAGGTTGAAGGCGACCTTCGCTTCTTCTCCAGCCTTTTATTTTAGCGGCTCTTCACTTTTCACTTTATGTCTATATACTTCTTATTCTAGTACTACGTATATTAATGTAAGCACTAAGTAGTATACCCACTAAAGTACTTTAATTAATTAAGTTGTACACATAGTCGAATGATTTTTATATATATACATGCATACATAAACCTATTTTCCATTTATTAATTGTTGGTTTCAATTCTAGGTAATATACAATTTAATTAGTAATATATCATACGTAGTATATAATATATAATAAATTGCAAATTAAATACATTCAAATATATATATATATATGAAATATAATATATTATATAATGTGCGACTGATCGCCTAATTGTCGCCTTGTCGCCTAGGCGATATGGCGGTCGACTGGCGCCGCGACTTGAGTTACCGCCGTGACAAGTATGACCTCCATAAGTTCCTCATAAGAAAAATCATCATGAATTACATCGATATTAGTAGTGGCATTTGGCTCAAGGCGAGAGAGTTTTGACCAAACATCATTTCTTGTAAATGGTCACCGACTCAAGCTATACGTGGAGTACTATATCACTTCGTCAACCACCGCATGTCAATTGGAAAATTAAAAGGTACATTTTGTCCGGCCTACGACATTAAATTGAGTGCTAATCGGGAGGCAACCCAACAAAAATCAATTATAAATAAATATCTTTATCTACATAAACATTCACATTTATTTATAATTGAAACAAAATAAATCAAAAAATTTTAAACATGGCCTCGGTTGCATAACTTGACTGGCGCCGGTCCAAAACAGACGCCTAGTCCTCACGAAATACACGTAGCCGGCGTCAGACACATTCCCAACTGGCGCCGGTAGGACCTGTTAAAACATTGCCCAAGTCGTGCAAACGACCGCACATCAACTCCCAATCTCAAATTTTCGAGAGCTCACGACGGCCAGCATCTCAAAACACCTCAAAACCGCCCCTTTCAGTCGGAATTCACGCCGCCAAAACTCTTACTAAATCACACGACCCTACTCCAAGCTCTTAACAAACAATCTATCATCAATCAAGGTAATTTTGCTTCAAAACCTAAAATTTCTTGAATTTTCAATTTTTCTTCTTTTTTCCAAAACTTGACAAAAGTGATATTTTCATGTGCTAATTGTTAGTCACTCATGCTTAATTGATGCCTATAAACACATTTTTTGTCAAGATTTTAAGATTAAAATTCAAAATTAGGAGAAGTTCTTGAAAAAAAATTCTCAAGAACCCTAATTTCGAAATTTCTTGTTCATTATTGAATTCTTTTATATAATTAATGTTTAGAAGGATATTGATATGATTTATTGTTGATATATAGTCTTCTAAACATAATTGTTGCAAGAATTTGTATATGAACATGAAATTTGGAGAAATAGTTGAATTTTTGGATTTGAAATCTAAATTACTTGACTTAATGAAATACGAAGTATATTGTGTGGTGCATATGTATTTGATAATGATGCAGGTCCATGGCTCCTAAACGAAAACATAGATGGTGTCAGTTCTTCTTGTTTCACTTCTCCGGAGAATGAGGCGTGGTATGAAAAAAGAAAGAACTCGAACATTGTCATTGAGAAGACCATTGATCCCCAAATCAACACTCTTTTCAGAATTTTGAAGGCATTTGACAAACTAGGGTGAAACATCATGCTCACTTTGACGAGAGCATATGACATGCGACTTGTGCGGTAGATTTATGCAAATATTGAAAAGAAGACAGACTCCTCTGGGGACGCCTCGCAGAGAAACTTAAGGCCAATGTTCTCAATGCTCGGAAGAGACGTATAGCGTACCTTCTGGGTTTCAACATCTCACCACGAGCTAATGACACACATATACTTCGTCGGGTGGACCTTTACCTTCTGCACCAGATGGTTAACGCGCTCAAACAGATTCAGGGCATTCCTTTGGCCCCTCTCATCAAGGTGGACATGACGAGCATCGTCAAAACGAAAAGAGGTGATGAAAACTTCCTTTACCCTCTTTTACTAATTATGATATTCAGAAATTTTGGCGTTGACCTTACTAATGAAGAAGTTGAATACACGTTTGGGTCACAAGTTCTAAATTCGGGTACTATGGTGTCCTTCCAATTCAAATTGGTGGGTAACACATGGGTCCGCAAGGATGAGGGGGACCACAAGGAGTATGAGGGTGGAGATGAAGAAATGGGCGAAGCTCAACCGACACCCACGACCCGGGCACGACGGACTACGACACAGAGTTTCGACTACCTCATCGACTCCATGGACCGAATGCATACACGGATGGACGTGTATGAGACCCGGCAAGAGGAGCTCCCCACTCAATACGATGCATTTGAGACCCGCCAAACGAGGATAAAGGAGTAATTGCAAGGTTATGATCAAAGGTTTGGGGAATTCACCCAATACTATTACGGCCAATTTGGGTATGCCTCCCGACCCACAACATTGAGTACCCCCTTTTGTTGTTGCTATTATGACATTATCTTCCCTATACACACCTAATTGTGGATGTTGATGGAAGTATTTGATTTCTATGCATCATAAATTGGGACAATGTATTTTAATTGTGAGCGTGCATCTCATGAGTAGTTAAACAAATTTTTTTGTGCAAATTATTTCTTTAGGAAGGTAAAAAATTGTGATATTTCTCTTTTTAATGGGTATTTGGTTGAGAAAGTTTTTTTCTCTTATTAATCACAAAAATTATCATTTTTTTAAGATTTATTACACTACTTTTTAATCTTGAAAATCATTCCCAAAAGAAACCTTGTGACTAGGAAACACCATCTTCTTTCATTTTCAAAAGTGGTCAAAAAATCATCTCAAATATTCAAGTCCCACTTTGGAATACAAGTCAACCCCATATCTCATCAAATAAATTGGTATCAGCAAAATGACTTTCAATAAATACTTGTTGAGAACCATTTCAAATAAGTTAAGTTGTTGGACTTAATTTCTATTTCTTTTCTTGTCATGGACTTATGCTATCAGTTATATTGTGAATTTTTTTATGTAGTAATATGATTTACTAGTTAGTTAAATATGGTTGAATGCGTGTTTAATTTAATTTTCTATTAAAAAATGTGTTTGGTTTGTTTTTCTCTTAGGTTTATAGTATATGTATTTTATGATCTAAATACTAGTGTCATAGTATGTTTTAATGTTTAAATAATACCGTATTTTTAGTAAGAATTTAAAAAAAAATCGGATAATACACGTATACAAATTTAAATGTTTTTAAGAGTCAACGTTTTTTAACATTTTTTTGACCGTATTTTTTGTCCATGCGACCATGCCACTGAATAAAACACCAACGTATTGAACACCGTTCAATTACCGTACCGTATTTAACCAACTCGGCTTTCTGAAGGGTCAACTGGCATTGACATAGGCAGCACTACTGCAGCAGAGTCATGCCATTGCAGTATGATTGCACCGGGTGCCACATATCAGAGGATTTCCTGCAATGCAGCAATTAACACGGAAAAAATGAAGGATATGCTAAACCGAAGAAGAAATAGTATGAATCCATGAAATGTTCAAACGAAGGCAATGCTTGGCAAGCCATAATGAGAAGAAATGTACTGTAGAACACATTTTTGAATTTGAGGTAGGCCAGAGAAAATAATTCTTTCATGCAATTTTCCTCCACATTAATTTTACACAAGCAAATGTGATTTTTATCGAACTTGAGGCAAGACATGATCTGCCGCTATATGCCCTCATTAATTTAGGTTCATCTAACGTTACTTAAATGCTACTAGAAAAGTAAGCTTACTTGTCATGCTCAAGTTGTTGCATGATAAGTCCATGAGTTCAAAATAATACTACCTCTGTCCCCGAAAGAAGTTCCCGTTCGGTTTATGATGCTTGACTGACGATAAAGTAACTCAATCCCTGTTCACACCTGGATTATTTTTAGTAAAAAAAATTACATATTCAGAAACTACATTAAAACCGCTACAAAGCCTGATCAAGAAAATTTAAGTTTGATAAAAATTTGATATATAAAGTAAATGATTAGGAGTGACTCAAGTTGACCAATGAATAGTGACTGAGAACTTCTTTCGGGGACGGAGGGAGTATTTAAGTAATCCACATAAATCTTAATCAGAAAGTTGTAAGAGAATGAACATATATTGAACAAGGGGGAGAGAGATTTACATGAAAGTAAGCTGGGTCATGCTGGTCAAAGACATTGGAATTGCTCCAGATAAACTGTTATTGTTGAGACTTCTAACCCACACAATAAACTTCATTATTAGTAACTATTATTTTTAGATTAATTAAACAATTCATTTATGAGATTTTAATAAATGCTTACATGTACTTCAGCCTTTGCAAGTGGCCCAGAGAAGAAGGATTTTTCCAGCAAAGAGATTGTTAAAAAGATCATGAGATAGAAGATTAGGAGGCATCCGATCTCACCTGGGATCAGTCCATTTATGCTGTTATTCTGTAAGAATCTGTCAATCACATTATTGTGTATTAAAGCCTAGATGATTTTTTAATTAGAATCAAGCCGTAATCTTAAGAAATTAGCACTTACATGGTCTGGGTGTTTGTCAAATTTACAATGCTTGTAGAGAGCACTCCGGATAAGCTCTGGATTAGAGCTCCTCTAAATATGAACAAACCCCATCAACTAAGGGTCTGTTGGGAACTCAATAAATATTACGGAAAAAATAAAAAATGGAAAATTTGGAATGAAAGCAGATTTATTTAGGGGAATTTTTTTAAAAAGATCAAATCAAATGTTCTATTAAATTTGATTAGTTTATATTTTTATAAATGAAAAGAAATTGTTTGGCAATAACAAAGATTTGTGAAAAGATGAATAGGACAAGGTTAGGAAATAAAATTGTTAAGCAATAAACATATGGGTGAAGCCTACTTGAGCATTTCCTTGTTTCTGAAGATGTGAACACATGGTGTAGCCATTATATCATTTGCCTTGGCAATCTCATGGTCTTCAGTAATGTCAATTGTTCAACTCAATATGAGTAATATCAATCTTAGGGTCTTCAGTAATGTCAATCTCAACAAAATGGACATCATGCTTAAATTCGTTTATAACCTTCAAAACACCAGGTACATGCTGGGATGATAAAACACCAAATTGTAGAAAATCTGGCTTTTTGCACAATAAAAACAATAAAATATTAAGGAGTAATAACTTACAGTCCAACTACAAAACCATCTGGAGAGAAAGTAACCATGGACCAGCTACAAGGATCAACAGTATTGGCATCCCATCAATCAAGAAAAAAAACATAAGATATTGTAACATTTTTTAGGAGATAACACAAAGATTACAATAACATATGAGCTGAAAACTCAATAAATACCTTCAAAGTTTACACCTTTAGGAGATAACAAACCAATTATAGAGCACAAAAAGATAGCTTCCAAACCTGAGAATGAAGACCTGGAAGAAAAGCCCTCAGGTATAAAAGGCTTCCACTCACTAAGCTGCATAGTATACCCAGCTTCTTCTCCACATCCCTACTTCAACATTCAAAAAAACAAAATCAAATGAAATATAAGAAGTGGGACAGTGAGTAATTTGTGTAATCAAAACAGTTGGTGCAATCTTAGTTATGTGCATTCTTAATATCTTAATATAGAATATTTGCCTTGATTTATTTGTTAGCCTATCTATTCATCCACAATACATGTTTGCCATATTACGGAGTATCTCTCCATCTGCCATACCATGTCAATCTAACCGACCTCAACAAACCAAATTATTTAATACTATGTATATAACAACCTCATTGAGATTCTCAGACTACAATTAAGAAGTGTCTCAAATAATCATCACTTCCTAGCGAAAGAGACATTACCAATGGCATGTAGAGCATTCTCAAGCCAAACAACATCAAATGTCTATAAAAAGCATTACAGCTACAACCTGAATACTGCAAATAAAGAAAGAGTGGACATCCAGACAGAGACTGATAAACATACCCATCACTGTAGCCCACTCTTGCCGATCTGAGTTACCAAAGGTATAGACTACGGAATTCATCCTCATTACTAGCCTTGCAACTTCCCTGGGTGGAGCCCGAAGTAGTGTTATGATGTGATCAAAGCACCAGGCTGAACCAAGGATTCTACAGGAGAACCCTTTTCTTTATCATCTGGGTCAACACCATGCCCAGCCCACTTTTAACAGGTGACCACGAACTCGAGCTCGCAACAACACTGTTTTGAATCCGATTCTACTCTCTGTAATCAGCTAAAGCATGTCCAATCCTTGCATCAGGCATTTTGTTCCTAGGAGTCAAAAAATCCCTACCCGCACCCTCAATTGGCATCCTATCGCCTGGAGGAGTCATCCTGTTCGCCAGTGCAGGCTTATGAACGAGACAACGACATGCGTAATCGCTGTGTTATATTTGCTGGGCTGGAGTTTATAATTGGGCCGGAATAAGGTATGTCCCTGGGCCGGATAACATTAATTAATAACATTTTTTAGGCAAAAATATTAATAATATTATTATTAATAAGAGAAAGTTCTCGAAATAGGACTAAAACAGTTTGAAAATTCCAAAATAGGACTGACATGTTTTTTATTCCCAAAATAGGAGTAATTACTGCCATGTTTGGAAAATACTGTCATGTTTGAAGTCTGGTACTGCCAAAACATGGCAGTAATTAGTCCTATTTTGGGAATAAAAACATGTCAGTCCTATTTTGGAATTTTGAAACCTTTTTAGTCCTATTTCGGGTAATATCCCTATTAAGAATAGTAATATTAATACTAACAATGTTATATACTTCCTCTTGATGGATGGTCTACCCGGGGTATCTTATCCGAGGGGTTATTGCGGGAATAACTTAGAGAGAAGTCAGAGCAAATAGGAGGAGAGAGAGTCGATTTATTAAATGAACTCGAGATGTGGATCTGGGATCGTTTACAAGGAGAAATGGGCTGCTATTTATAGCAGCAATAAATGCGATGAGAGTACACGTGTCAGTAATCCAACGGCCGAGGGGTCACATCACTCGGGTGGCACCGGCAGTGGCATGTTCACCGCATTAAATGCGGTTGGCGGATGTAACGCGGCATTAAATGCGGTGGTTGGTTGTCTCCAAAAGGAATCTTCGATGATTGAGCATGTTTGGCCGAAGGCTCCTTGTGTAGCCGAAGGCTCCATGTGATCAAGGACCCCTGCGTAGCCGAAGGTCTTGTGTGACCGAAGGCTTGATTCAGCCGAAGGCTTCCCTGATGCCGGGGGCTTGATAATGTCGAAGGCTCATGTTTTTCGCCGTTTTCTCCCAGAAGCTTCTTATGCCAGAGGAGGCTATCCTGTGAGTTTTGGAGCCTTCGGCCAAGGAGGCCGAAGGCACCGCGGTGTGCATTCTGGGCTACTTTGAGGCCTGGGCCGTTGCATTTGGGCCTGAGTTGTCCTCCGGGCTCAACGGACTTGCGTAGGAGAAGTAGGAGTCTATGGGCCGGGGGTTCCTGGACCATATACTCCATCACCTCTGTTCTTTTTTAGTTAAAACAGTCCCCTTTTCACGTTTCACAACGCACAACTTTGACTGTCATTATATTTAATTCCGTAATAGTAAAAATAAAATAGAAATCAGATTATAAAACTTAGTAATGAGACGAATTTAACAACATTTTTCAAAAATAATAATTCACATACATTAATAAATAAAATGTAGTCAAAGTAAAAGTACATGAATAATGTATATATTCCAATGTTGCAACTAATGCGATACGGAGGATAGTCCAATGTATTATGTGAATGATAATATTGGGCTCATAGTAACTTGTAGTGTGCACTTTTAAAATGTCACTTTTAATTGATTTTTCATTTTAAATTAAGTAATATAAATTGGCTATTATAAACGGACCGATCTGAAATAACCTTTTGGCTCTGATATATAAAGACGTCGCAAGAACAAAGGGTAGCCGTAAATAAATGCAGAATGGAAAATGAGATAATATATGAATAAAACATTACACTTAGATAAATAATATGGTAATGGGAAAATCGCACTTTTAGTCTCTAAAATAATCACAATACTCAAATGTCAGACCTGTGTTCCTTAGTTTGTAAATGTCACCCTCAATTGTACAAATTGCTGTAAATGTGATCCTGAGGGATGAAATGTACAATTTGGGCGAGAAGTGCATTTCACCCCTCAAAGGACCACATTTATAGCAATTTGGACAATTGAAAGGTGACATTTACTATCTCATAAATATGGGTCTAACATTTCAACATGGTGACTGTTTCAGGGACTAAGAGTGTAATTTTCCCTATGATAATTAAAAGTACATAAGAGAAAAGTATATTAAAATTAAAACATGAAGAAAACACTTCATATTTTGAACAAGTAAAATTAAAATCTTAGAAATCAAAGATCAGAGGAGATCACTCAAACTTCTAGCCTACAAGAGAGTATTGTGTATTCTACATTTCTACGTCTCCAAGTTCTAATTTTTGCAATATAGGAGTCCTCTTCTCATAGGGGTGTGGTACTCTGTGTAATAATTGAGTGGATGAAGTAGTTGAGGAGTAGGGACTTATTTCCATCCACTTGATAATCTTTTTGAAGCACCCAAAAACATTTTCTTTTTCTTTTTCCTTTTCCTTTTCTTTTTCTTTTTGGATTTTTTTTGTTTTAATCCAATAACATGTCAGGCTAGACCCATTACAACGTGCATAAAAATAGAAAAAATAAGTTTTGGGTTGTGCCATGACTCATGAGTACATGGGTGAACATTTTGTTTTCACTTGGTAGGGGACTAGGGGAGAGGATGCCGAAACAGCCGACTTCATTGTCATTTTTTGTTAGCATGATTGGTTCTGAGATCTTTGATTTTGGAGAAATTCTCTTGTCAGAAAATCTAAAATTGAGTTTTGATCTCCTATAATAAATTCAATATCAAAATAAAAAATACTAATGATGGATAATAGAGTATCCAAACATATATAAAATGGAGAGATTGAGTTATGGTGTGAGGAAAAAGATGAATAGTGTATAAGTTTGTGAATTATGAATTGGGAGTTGGGAATTACAAGACCTCCCAAGTGGAGTATAAATAGAAAAACAATGGGTTAGGCCGCTAATATGCGCCCGATAGGCATCTGGTAAGCGTGTACAATAATATGAACTATGAACTGTACAATAATCCAACTACATGAAAGACTAATCAAGTACATACAAATGACATATGAACTGTACAATAATCTAAATGACATCTGGTAAGCGTGTGTGGGCTGCTGTCCAGACCCAACAGTCGTGAGACCCGGGGGTCCAAGTCTATATAGTCTATCAGGAGACCCCCACTCCCTGAGTCGAGAGTACTCGAGGCGAAAGGAAGTTGAAATATGTGCCGATCTGTCATTGTCTGGTGGAGCACAGAGTTGTGATCGTCCAGGCGCCCCACCTCGATTCCCAAGCCGCTGGTCCAATCTCATCGACAATCCCTGGCTGAGGCAACCCTATGGGAGAATCCTCAAGCGAAGGTCGCTGGCCAGAGACCCTCACATCCGGTCTTGAGGCTGAGGATCTATATGTATGTACTTTTGTGACACCGCACCCGAACGCCCTTGAAAATTCAATTTCAATTTCAAGTTTATGTATTGAATTTCCGATTTCCAAACAATTGTAAAACGATTAATGTTTTACGTAGTGCATGATTGATTATCGTACTGTTCAAACTCGTATATTAGTGTCGGGTTTGCAAATACTTATTTGGGCCTTATTAATGAATATAAGAGCCCAACATTTCCCAAATAATGGTACTTAACTTTTCAAGACAAGTTGAGGAAGGTCGGGCGGCCCAGACATTATTTTGGGCTCAATCTGCTAAAAATAGCAAGTATTCGAGGATGGCGTCCTAGACCCACTCGGGAGTGACCCACACGGCTAGTAGCCCAATAATATGTATGACAAATGTCAAAATAAGTGATAGAATGATTAGAGAAGAATACAAATGCCTATAGCCCCATCTTTGACATTATTGAGCTAAATAATGGGAGTATGATTTTCCTTCTATGATATCCATCAAGTAAATTATTGAGATGAGCCTACACATATTGGAGATCAATAATGTGATGAAGGAAGTTGACTTGTTCTAAATAAATTACAATGAGTACAAAAAGACATCTTTTGACAAAAGATTAAACAATAGGACCCATTCTTCCATTTTTGGATGTATTGATTAATATTTTGCTCCCAAAATAATTGGGGAACAACATGCTGCACCCCATCTCTTCCTTCCACCTGAAAGACAATAAAAATAATGTTAGGGGGATGCCACAGCTGACTTTAGGGGCTGGACTTGACAAAGGAAGAAGAGGGAACCCCACCTAGTCTATTTTCGCACAAAAGGATGGTGCTGGTTGTCTCCCTCCATGAGTGAAGTTATACTCGACCAAATAAGGTGAATGAGGTGTCCTTGGATAGCCTTTGAAGTCTAGTTTCTTATTTGAGTGGTCTATGTGCGATAAGGGAGAGTTTATCATACAAAAATCGAGCTGGAGTGAACTGCTGTCTGTAAACTCGAGCAGTGAGAGTACTGAGGCTGTTTGGTTGATATCTCGAGTTATACCAATCCAAATAAGGCGTGCGAGATACCAAAAGAAAGCTCTCAAGACTAGGAATCCGGGAACGTCCGGTTTGCATCAATCGGAGTAGTGGAAGGCTTCCAAATCGTCCGAGCAAAACACAACCTCGCAGGAGCGGATTTAATCTTCTAAAGTGAGTTTTAACCCCAAAACCTTTCCCTTCATTTTCCAAATGATATGAACGATTGGTGGAACTATTATACACTACTCCATGTGTATAATATGTCCCTATTGAGTTATTTTATTGATGTAAAGGTTAGATACTAACCAAGAGCAAATCTTGGAAAAACTAGGAAACGAGTTAGCCGGAAAACACCCATTCTAGGGGCTATTTTCGTATCAACGATTAGGGGTTGAACTAGCACTTGAGGAGGCAGTTTAACACTCCTTTCCAAGCAAGGAATCAGTTCTCAAACCTTCTTGGCCGAGGCTTTGGTCGTTGGATCGAGAAGGAAGGTTTTAAAGCTCATTTGAGGTGAGGATTGACATCTAATTGCTTACAACTTGTAGGTTAAGCATGAGATTACCTAAATGCCTAAATCATAATCTTTCATGGATTATGATGATTAAATATTGATGAAATATGGATATAGTTCCCAAAGAATGAAATTGGAAATGATTTGAGGATGTATGAATAATATGAGATTAAATGAGTTATAAATGAACTATTTTGTGAAATAGAGATTTTACTCATGTATGAATTATGTGGATACATAAATGAATATTTATGTATTGAAATTGAATACTTAAGTTGCTATTACATGCTTATAAATATGTAGGGAATT